GGTGAGAAACTGCAAGTTGCAAAAGCAGATCTGAAGCAGGTGGGTAGGTTGCTAATAATCACGTTACACATTCGAACTACAGGTAAACATGTGCCACTGAACAAGAAGCACAGTTTTTGTTAGTACTGATTGCTGGTGTGTAGTATCGTCTCAAAGGACATGAGCGATGGCAGATTACACTACAGATAAATGTCATTACATGGTACCAGACTGAAATAATAATTCAGGGCTCCATGCTGGGCCACTGTGTTTTATTTAGGGCTATTCTTTGTGAGCAGTAGCAGATATTCTCCTGCCACTGCTGGACATTTCTCTGCTGTTTATCAGAATATTGGTGCCCCTTCCTTGGAAGGCGCATTAACATTTGCTCACTTTGTTCAATGCCACTTGTTCAAATGTTCTTGATGCTCCTTAGTGCACTAGACCTAAAACTGATCGCTGGTTACACGATGTCACTCGGGCCCCAGAAGGACGTGCAGGAAAGCAGAAAGAAAATGGAAAAAAGATAAACTCCAGATTTCCTTTCATATGTTAGGAGGAGCCTTGTTTCTTTATCAGGATGCTGTTCAAAAAGCAAAACTAAGTACTTATCAGATATCATCTCTAACTACAGCTACACGCCCTGTGTTTTATTCAACACCATTAATTCTGTTGTCAACCCTCCACTCACCACACATTCACCCATTTCCCCAAAAAACAATCAGTTCTGTCTCTAAACTCCCCGTCCTGTCCAAAGTCCTGGAAAAAGCTCCAGGAATTTCTGAAAATTAATAACATCTCAGAAACATTTCAGCCTGGTTTTAAAGCGCTACATAGCACTGAGCTTGTGCTTTTAAACGTTTTAATGATCTTTTATTAATTGCTGACTCTGGTAACTCTGCCATTTTAGTGCTTTTAGATCTAAGTGCGGCATTTGATACAGTGGATCACGGGATTCTCTTATCATGACAGGAGAGCTGTGTGGGTATTAAAGGAGCTGCATGGTTCAGATCTTATCTAACTGATAGAAGTTTTTCTGTCAGGTTTGGTGGCTCTTCATCCTCATGATGAAGGCTCTAAAGGTTTTGCTAGACGGCCTTGGTGACATTAAATCATGGTTTGCATTAAATCTTTTGAATGTAAATGATCAAAAAACTGAGATTGAACTATTTGGACCTTCTGACCCTCACTTTTCTCTTAAGGTTGACCGTGGTCCTCTGGAAAGTCCGGAAGTGTCTTTGCAAAGAATCTTCGAGTTTTTCATTTAAGAAACAAATAAATTCTGAACATTTTATCATTTGCTGACTTTGAGAAAGTGATCCATGCATTTACTTCATCCAGGCTTGATGACTGTAATATTTTGGTATCAGCCGGGCTCTGCTCTCGTCTTCAGCTAGTTCAGAACGCTGCAGCCCGACTCTTGACAGGCGCTCGTAAACACAACCACATACCCCAGTCTTGCCTCGTTGACACTGGCTTTGTTGTAGAATTGATTTTAAGATTTTATTGCTTGTTTTTAAATCTCTAAATGGATTAGCTCCATCATACCTCTCTGATCTGGTAACTAAAAATACTCCAAACAGAACTCAGGTAGCTGATAAGTTGCTAAAACACAGAGGAGATCGGGTCTTTGCGATCGCTGCACCCAAACTTTGGATCATCTTCATATTAGGATCTCTCCAACACAAAAACACATTTTTACTGAGTGTTGTTTTGTTCTTTGTGTGTGTTTGATCTACTTTTCACTTTTTACTATGTACAGCACTTTGATCAACCTGTGTTGTTTTCAAATGTGCTTATAAATTGATTGATTGATTGTGTGGTTTAAAAGAATTCACTTTAATGGTATTACTGGATGTCTGCTATGTAATAATAAAATGAGAGTGCTATCAGTTAAATATGCATTTTTTATCTTTTTGGCATTTGATGACAATTTTAATGGCAAATGGAGCTGGAGAGTGTCGCTGTTTATACCTGTACAAAAGATGCACGGGCAGAACAACCGGACATTTTTAACATATGTTGTTATTAACGTGATAATTTCCAGTTTGCAATACTGAAAATGATGTGTGTGTCTGATAGACAAGTCTGTCTTAACACAGAGTTTTTAAGGTGTGTGAAGCCAGAGTGGGTTAAAAGTTACTCTTCAAGCAACATTTAAAAAGTATATGTGGAAATATCAGAATGAAACAGAACATAGATTTGATTTGATTTGAATGAATCTTTATTTTGAACATGTTGAAAAAGTACAACAACATAGAGTTAAAAGAGACAAATGAACAAAGCAAAACAAAAGGAAAACGAGCAACCACAACTAGAAATAACTTTCATGTTCAAAAAGGAGCAGGAAGAAGCATAAGCTTATTTAATCCCACCCCTTTTCCACTATCTAGTAATTTATAGACTACAGAATTACATTATATGTCGTGTATTTTTTTTTATTATTCATTATTTTTTTATATATATATATACATATATGTTTCTATCTATCCATACATACGTATATACACATACGCACATATACACATTTTCAATAACCCCATTAACACATAGATACAAATAGGCTGTGTCTATTTTTTGTGTTTTAGCTGACTCGCTCTCTGTACTTCAACATTTAGCTGCATCTGTTTTTTCACCACCGTTCCACCGACACAGACACGATTTGCTGAGAGACAAAGGATGACACGGACTAATTTGGTGCTGCTTGGAGCTTCAGTTTAAAGTTGTATTGAATGTTTCTAAAACATGCAATGATATGCAGGGTTTGCACACGGTTTGGTGCATTTGCTCTGTGAACGAGGTCCATTGTCTCGCTGCAGTATGGACCATTTTTCACAAGATGCAAAGCAGAATGTGAAGCATTTCTCTGAAGCATAAAGTGCCACTTCCTCCTGATGAGGGTGGAGTTGATTCAGTGTCCAAATGTCTACATCAGTAAAAACTTTCGGCCCTTTCTTTGTGAAATGCCGGTTTGTCACAAGTCAAGTCAGCCAACGATTGTTAGTTATTGGATGAATAAAGAGAATAACAAACAATGAAAATGTGGTGTGTGTTATTTCAGCGATAGATGTGATGGGTGCGTCGATGACTGAGATAAAAGCTTGTGGTTTCACACTCAGATCCACCCCTCACTAATTCAAACGCTCTGTGTGGAGGTTGGGACAAAAACCTCAGAGTCGAGACTTCATTATACCACGACATCACTGTGGCCATGTTTCACCCCCTGTGGTTTCATCTTTTATGAGTGTCTGAGTTTCTGTTTTTAATGTGATGATCTTTAAAATGACTACAACTAATACAAATGGCCCATCAACATCATGGGTGAGGTAAATACAAATAAACAATACAGTTCAAATAAAATTGCAGCTGATAAGAGTCTTATAGTATTGGGTTGTTTTGTTTTGCTTTGTTTTATTTATCTATATATATAGATTTTTTTTTCTATAATAATATCTGAATGATCTACATGGGAGAGTATGTATAACTATATCTATGTGTTTCCCTAACACTGTTCATATACGATGTACATACATTACTATTATACACTCAAATTTTTTATTAATCTCGTCCTCTATTTTATTTGAACTCTCTCTTCCTGTTGGTTAAAATGTTGTTGGAAAAGCAATAAATAAATCTTATAGTATAATATATATGTCAGTGCCCCAGTGCTTTGAGTTTTACATTATTATTGGACTTTGTCATCATTTATCATTTCTAGTCTTTTGTTACAATGTTACAGTTCTAAGTCTTCTGGTTCTGTCTCTGTGGTCCGTGGTTGCGGTCTATCCTGTCAGCTGTATCCCCTTGTGAAGTCAGCGCCTCTGTGTTATGTTTCCTGTTTTACTTTGAAAGTCTATGTCTTATGTCAGTGCTTCTGGTTTTGCTTTCCTTGTGCTGTTAAGTCTGATTTCTCCCAGCTGTGTTTCCATCCTGTCTCCCATTCCCTGATTACTCCAGTGTGTATTGTTATTGTTATTTGAAAGGCTTTAAATAAGTTGGGTTTTCTTGGCATGAAGATTGGAAGCAGTGGCATCA